AGAGCCTGAGCTGTGATCCTCCTCCCTGGGTCAGGCCCTTCCTCCCACCTCCTCCTTTGGGCCCCTGCCTGACACCTCTGCCTTCGCCTGTTCCACTCATCCCTACTCCTTCTGCCTCCCTTCAACTTCCTCCCTGCTCCCCTTGACAGAGCCCCGATCTCCCAACCCTAGGTCTAAAGCCCCCGCCTTCTTGCCCAATATACAGGAGGATCTCCTCCTCCTGGACCCGCTCCTCCTTGCCCTAATGCCAAGCAGGCAGCACCCCAGCTCCCAACACCTGACCAGAGCCCCCCACCACCGAGCTCTATTACCGGAGGCCCCAGCGCCCCGCCGCCACCATCCACCCAACTGTGATCTCAAAGAGACAGGACACTGGAGGGTCCTGACAGCTCCAGGATCTTCCAGGCCTTTCCCCTCCAGTCGATGGAGGAGGGGTGTTACCAATACTAGCCTTTCTCCTCTTCGGACCTTTATAATTGGAAGACACATAACCCCCCCTTTTCATAGGACTCGCAGGCCTTGACAGGTCTTATTGAATCTATCCTCATCACCCACCAGCCCACCTGGGATGACTGCCAACAACTCCTGCAGACTCGCCTCACAACCGAGGAGAGACAACAGGTGCTCCTAGAGGCCCGGAAGACCATACAGGGGCCAGATGGCAGACCCACCCAGCTCCCCAATGAAATAGATGAAGTCTTTCCCTTGATCAGACCGACAGATTGGGACATCAACACTGCAGCCTGTAGGGAGCATCACTGTCTTTATCACCAGTCTCTTTTGGCAGGTCTCAAAGGGGCAGGAAGGAGCCCCACAAATTTGGCTTGGAAGAAACCGCCAAGGGTTTCTAGAGTGTTTGATGGAAGCCTACAGAATGTATACCCCCTTTGGCCCCCAGGCTCAGGATAGGGAGGCCGATATAGTCATGCCATTCATTGGACAATCAGTGCCCAATATACGTACGAAACTACAGTGCCTTGAGGGGCTACAGTGGTACACCCTTCGAAACTTAGTAAAGGAAGCAGAAAAGATTTTCAATAAGAGAGAGACTCCAGAAGAAAAAGAAGAAAGTTATGAAAGTTGCAGGAGGGCAGGGAAAATGCAAGAGACAAAAAGCAAAACCAAGAGCTGGCTAAGATTTTGATCACCATAGTTCAGAGATCAGAACATAGGCCAGGTCAGACAGGGAACCTGGGAGACAAAAGGAGAACAAGAGTGGAGAGAGACCAGCGTGCTTATTGCAAGGAAAAGGGACATTGGGTCAAAGATTGCTCGAAGAATCCAAGGTGGAAGCCCATTCCCGTTCTCTCTCTGGAAGAGGGAGACTAGGCCAGTCAAGGCCAGGTGCCTCCCCCTGAGCCCAGGGTAACTCTTAACGTTGGGGGGCAACCCATAACTTTCTTGGTAGACATGGGAGCTCAGCATTCAGTCCTGACTCAGACCCAGGGACCCCTGAGCACCTGGATGGCCTGGGTCCAGGGTACCACCTGAGGAAAGCTACACTGATGGACAACTGAACATAAGGTCCACGTGAGCACTGGACATGTGACTCACTCTTTCTTGCTGGTGCCCGAATGTCCTTACCCCTTATTAGGGAGAGACCTCCTCTCTAAAGTGGGAGCCCACATTCACTTCCACCAGAAGGGGGCCACCATCACAGGAGAGGGGGGACAACCCCTCCAAGTATTGACCTTAAAGCTCGAGGATGAATATAGACTTCTAGAGGATCCCTCACCCCCCTCACCAACCATGGAGTCTAGCTGGTTAGAAAAATATCCCCAGGCCTGGGCAGAAACAGCAGGCATGGATTTGGCTAAAAAACAGCCTCCTTTAATTATCAACCTCAAGCCCTCAGCCACCCCATTGGCCATTAAACAATATCCTTTGAGCCAAGAGGCCCAGGAAGGAATCAAACCACATATTAATAGACTATTACAACAATGCATCCTTAGGCCCTGTCGCAGCCCTTGGAACACCCCTGTTCTCCCCATAAAGAAACCAAGTACGGGGGAGTACAGGCCAGTTCAAGACCTGCAGGAGGTCAACCAAAGAACTGAGGACATCCATCTGACGGTACCCAATCCTTATAACTTTCTGAGTATGTTGCCTCCGAGCCACATCTGGTACACGGTGCTATAACTTAAGGATGCATTCTTTTGCCTCAGACTGAGTCCCCAGAGTCAGCCCACATTCGAATTTGAATGGAAGGACCCCAAAACTGGGTTTTCTGGCCAGCTCACTTGGACACGGCTCCCCCAGGGGTTCAAGAACTCACCAACCCTCTTCGATGAGACCCTACACCAAGACCTAGCAGACTTCCAATCCATAACCCTAACCTGATCCTGCTTCAATACGTAGATGACCTTCTCCTGGCAGCGGAATCTGAACAAGACTGCTTCCAAGGTATCGGGGCCTTACTGCAAAAGCTGGGGGAACTGGGATACAGAGCTTCAGCAAAGAAAGACCAACTTTGCAGGGGGCAGGTCACCTACTTCGGATACCGGCCCCAGGGTGGCCAGAGATGGCTAACAGAAAGCCATAAGCAAGCTGTGGCCCTGATTCCACCACCCAAGAGCTCCCGGGAAGTTCGAGAATTCCTGGGAAGTGCAGGGTTCTGCCGTCTCTGGATCCTGGGTTTTGCGGAGCTGGCAGCCCCACTGTATCCTCTGACTAAAGCTAGCACCCCTTTTACATGGACAGAGGAGCATCAGAAGGCCATTGATGGCATCAAAAAGGCCTTACTGTCTGCCCCTGCACTAAGCCTCCCCAACATAAACAAGCCTTTCACCCTTTATGTGGATGAAAAGGCTAGGATGGCAAAAGGGGTCTTAACAAAACAACTCGGACCCTGGAAGAGACCTGTAGCATACTTCTCTAAGAAATTGGACAATGTGGCCATGGGCTGCCCCCCCTGCCTCCAGATGGTGGCTGCTGTGGCAGGTCTAGCCAAGGACAGATTGATTCTGGGTCAGCCACTCACGGTGATAGCCCCCCATGCAATTGAGGCAGTGGTCCAACAACCCCCCAATCGATGGCTTTTGAATGCACACATTACCAGGCTCTGATCCTCAACCCAGACAGACTGCTATTCAGGGCAGCAACATCTTTAAACCAGGCCACCCTCCTTCTGGATGCGAAAGCACAAACCTCTCTGCCCCATAACTGCTGCCTGATCCTGGCCAAGACCTGTGGAGCCCGAGAAGACTTGATGGATCAACCGCTACCAGGAGCCGAGCACACCTGGTTCACGGATGGGAGCAGTTTTCTGCAAGACGGTATACAAAAGGCAGGGGTGGAGGTGGTGGATGGGCAGACTATAACATGGGCCAGTGCTTTGCTGCCAGGAACCTCAGCCCAGACAGCAGAGCTGATTGCCCTGACCCAAGCACTCAAAATGGCTGAAGGCCGTAGAGTCAATATCTATACAGACAGCCGCTATGCATTTACTACAGCTCATGTACATGGAGAAATTTATGGGAGACGGGGACTTTTGACTTCAGCAGGAAAAGACATTAAAAATAAGACTGAGATCCTAGAGCTCTTGCAGGCTCTTTCTCTGCCACAAAGATTGAGCATTATACATTGCCCCGGACACCAGAAAGGAAATGACCCAGTGGCTAGAGGGAACCTAATGGCTTTTGTCACAACTACATCGATGGACCCACCTCGGGCACAAAAAGCTAAAAGCCCTTCTACAACGAGAAGAACAAACCTACTATATCCACAACCTCAATGCTCTCATCCAACAGATCACTAGCACCTGTACCCCCTGTGCAAAGGTGAATACAGGACGGTTCAAGTTGCCTGAGGGAACCAGGGTTAGAGGAGAATGGCCAGGGACCAACTGGGAAGTTGATTTCACCAAAATCAGACCCAGTAGCTTTGGGAACAGGTACCTCCTGGTTTTTATAGATACTTTATCAGGATAGACAGAGGCTTTTCCTACTATGCATGAGACCGCATGGGTGGTGGTCAAGAAGATTGTTGAAGAGATCTTCCCGAGGTTCGGACTGCTTAAGGTAATAGGGTCCGATAACAGACCTGCCTTTGTCTCCCAGGTAAGTCAGTTGGTGGCCAAAACATTGGGGATCAATTGGAAATTACATTGTGCATATCGCCCCCAAAGTTCAGGTCAGGTAGAACGGGCAAACCGAACAATTAAAGAGACCCTGACCAAATTAGCCTTAGAGACTGGCGCTAAGGACTGGGTACAGCTCCTGCCCATGGCCCTATTTAGGGTTCGGAATACCCCCTCGGTACATGGGCTCACACCTTTTGAGATTTTGTTCGGAGGACCCCCACCTATTATGGATGTGTTCCCTGCTGATCCTAACCACTCCGTTAACCCCCCATCCCTTCAGGCCCGACTACGAGCACTCCAGATTATTCAAAACCAGATCTGGAAACCATTGGCTGCAGTGTACCAGGCCGGAAACCCTGCTGTACCTCAATTCCAGATTTCAGACTCTGTATACATCAGATGCCACCAGTCTAAGACCCTTGAGCCTCGCTGGAAGGGCCCCTACACTGTGTTTCTGACCACCCCCACGGCACTCAAGGAGAACAGGATCGCAGCATGGGTCCACGCTTCACACGTCAAGGGCGACTAATGAGACCCCGGAATGGAAGCTACAGCGCACTCAAAACCCGCTCAAGATAAGACTTTTATGCAATGTTTGATTATTTCACTATGCTCGATGCTTTTCCATTTCTCAGCCCTAGTTAAAGGAGCCCCACATGCCCCCCAGCAGCTAACTTGGCAGGTGATATCCCAGACAGAGGAGGTCGTCTGGTCAGTCACTAGCCTTCAGCCACCCGGTACCCCCCGTACTTGGTAGCCTACACTCACCCCTGATTTTTGCCTCCTAGCCGCAGGTCTAGAAACCTGGGATATCCCAACTATAGGGGCAGATGAGATGACACCCAACATGGGTAGAGGAAACCGCCGATTTGGCTGCAGCAATAAGATGACACAGTGCAAGCTGGCAGGATTTGATTTCTATGTGTGTCCCCAGGACGGGCATCCCCGGGGATCATGATGTGGGGGTTATAATGAATATTTCTGTGCTAAATGGAATTGCAAAACTACCGGGGATGCTTATTGGAAACCCAGCTCCTCTTGGAATCTGATAACTGTCAAGCGGAACTACTCGAAACCCCTCCAATGTAGTCCCCGCAGTTTTGGGGACTGGGAGCGAACTTGCAAAGGAGCTCTTTGCCTTCCTCTGAAAATCAGCTTCACTGACTGAGGGAAGGCAACCTATGTGGCCTGGCTAACCTGGAAAACTTGGGGTTTAAGATGGCACATGAAAGGAACTGATAGAGGAGTCATAATCAAGGTCCAGTTGCTGATACAGAACCCTACCCCACGGGTAATAGGGCCTAACCCAGTCCTTAGAAACCTGGGAACCCCAAAGCTCCCCCAACCCAGAGCTCTGGCTAGGGTCATTACCCCAGTTCCAACTGACACCAGGCCCTCCCTCGCCACTGCCTCCCAGGTAGAAAATATTCCATCTACTGGACAGCAAATTTTTAATCTGGTCAGGGGAGCCTTCTCCGCCCTTAACCAAACCAGGCCATATATGACTAACCCTTGCTGGCTGTGCCTTACTTCTGCACACCCCCTACTACGAGGGCATAGCCACCCTAGGAACATTTAATAACACCACTGATTCATCTCAAAGTGATTGGAAAGCACACCATAAACTAACCCTTACTCAAGTCTCAGGAATGGGCACCTGCCTTGGCCCTGTTCCCCAGTCTCACCAAGACCTTTGTAACCACACCCTCCTGCAGCCTATGAAACCCACCTACCTGAGACCTAGTCCAGGCCTATGGTGGGCCTGCAATACTGGGCTCACCCCTTGTATACATACAGGAGCCCTCAACCAAACCAAAGATTTCTGTGTGCTGGTCCAACTGATGCCCCGTGTATTGTACCATCCAGCATGCTATCTGGAGGACATGTACGGTTCTCATCAGACCTGATATCAAAGAGAACCAGTGTCCATAACCCTAGCTGTCCTGTTAGGGATTGTGGTCACCAGTGGGACTGGTACAGGGACCGCAGCCCTGGTCCAAGGACCACAACAGTACAGTGAGCTCAAAAATGCCATGATGGCAGATTTAAAGGAATTAGAAAAGCCAGTATTCAGGCTGGAAGAATCACTGGCCTCCCTGGCAGAGGTGGCCCTCCAAAACTGGAGAGGGCTAGACCTATTGTTTCTAAAAGAAGGGGGACTCTGTGTTGCCCTAAGAGAGGAATGCTGCTTCTATGTAAAGCACTCAGGAGTAATTAAGGACTCCATGGCAAAAGTCAAAGAGAGACTATCTAAAAGACAGAGGGAGGCCGAGGCTCAGCAAGGATGGTTCAAAGGATGGCTCAATAGGATCCCATGGTTGACTACCCTAATTTCCACCCTGGTAGGACCCCTGTTCATACTCCTCTTACTCCTGACATCCGGCCCTTGTCTCCTCACTAGGCTCCTACAGTTTATACGTGAAAGATTATCCATCACTCAAGCCCTCGTCCTAACTCAGCAGTACCACGCTGTGCCAAGTGCTGAGGTCCCCTGCTGTTTCCTCTAACCCAATCCTGTAAGTTTTTTGCTAGGACTCAAGTACACATCTGAGTATCAGCTGCTGACTACAGCCTGCTCCTAAGGACCGTGAGCCCCAGACATGCTGAGAAAATAAACCAGTCGTGCTGATGCGGACGCTCCTGTCTCTTCAACAAGCTGCCAACCAGTTGCTTCTCCACTACATAAATCCCCTTTTCTTTTGAATAACATTTCAGTTGTTTTTATTTTTTAGACCCCCTAATGACGCCCCAAAGGCAGCAGGAAGTAGAATGAGAAATACGTCGCCCATTTTCCCTGGTTGAAATGCTAAATCAAAAGAACTCCCTTAGATGGGGGACAAGATAAAATTGTCCACTAGTAACCCAAGAATGGATTACCTAAAAGAAAAAAAAGGGGGGGTGGTGGAATGAAAGACTTAAAGAATTAACAAAGAAATAAAATAAGGAAACTTAGAAAAAAAACCTCTCACACTAAAAACAGGGTGACCTGACTTAGAAATCTAACCAAGGTCACAATGACCTGAGTCCCTGGAATTTCCTAGCCGGCAGCAATAACTCCCTTACAAGGCCACAAGACAGCCTAACTAAATACCAAGAATTCCCAGAGGGCCACCCTGCCCTGGGGTCATGAAGATAAGAACAGACTATCCCACTGAGTCAGGAGACCATCCAGCCCCAAAGATAAGAGTCCTCCAAAGAACCTGTGACTCTGGTCACCACCCTAACCCCTAAGGTTTTCTCCTATAAAAGAAGCCTGCTTTTGAGGAACAGGGCTTCCTTTGTCTGTCGGACTGGGAGGCCCGTTTTTGCAAACATCCCACAATAAACTTACCTCTTGTTTTTAGATCAGCTGGACTGGACATTGAGTGTTTTGGGGGGACCATCTGATTTGTGGAGACTCCTCGATCTGAGGGTCTTTCAATATAAGTTAAAATTTTAACCATGTTAAGCTAATTCTGTTTGAAAAGTCCTGTTTATTTCTCAAGTTATTTATGTATACTTGTTTTAAAATGTTCTGTTTCCTGGCATAACCTAAGTTCTGTTACAAGCATGTAGCTAAATCAAATGGTGAGGGTCACTGCCATTTTGTAGCCAGCCATGTGGCACAAAATGACTGGTAGCCATTTTGCTAAAGTTGAACAAAAAAGATACTTAAAATGACATCTTGACTAAAGATGACCGTATGGAAATTAGAGGTACCATCTTAGAAGTTTTTCAGTTAAGTTTTAAAATGTTAATGCTTCTATATACTTTCTGCAGCCATAACAGCTTTTCAGACCTTGTCTTAGTCACTAAGGTCAACTGCCTGCCCCTGTCGGCAGCCATAACAGCTGAACACATGCGTGCCAAATTCAGAAAAAAATACTCCATTATCTATCCTATCTTGGTGAGTCCAAAGTGTTGTACTTAATTCACTTTCTATCCTAAATTGTATTGAAGGGATCAGCCCCCCATTTCGACAGCCATGACAGTAACACGTGCTCACTATGACCTTGCCTTGGTCACTAGAGGTTAGGTGCCTGCCTCGTGACAAGGGACCTATCAGAAGTTAGTTGATGGTGCTATGCTTTACGACTCTAGGTGTACTTTATGGACAAGCACACAGCAATGACATGCAGAGTGTAGCAACCACCCTGGGAGGGCCTATGGGCCATAATAACCAATTGGCCAATCAACACAGGCCAAGCCCTCCAAGCCTGGAGGCAACCAATCCTGAGCCTGTGCGTACCCCTAAACATTCCCCTTATGCTGCCCTACAAGATCACTCGGCAGCCACTTCGAGGTGTCTTTGCCAGCCATCTGCCATGGCAGATAGGTAAAAGACCCGAGCTAACATGGGGTTAGCTCGTTAAAAAACAATAAAGCCTCATGCAGTTTGCATCAAGCTCTCAAATCTGCCTGGTGATTGGGGTGACCTCGGTCGTGGCCTGGGCCCCGGATACCTGAGTTTTTCCGGGGGTCTAACACTGTGAGGCTTTCATAGTGGCATTCTTATTTCCCACAGTACAGATAGAGGTCATTTTTGTCATCCTAGAAAGTTCCCTTGGATGTTGTTATTCTAGATGCTCAGTAGTGGCTTGGAGCCATGCATGGATATAGCAGAAATCAATGATTAGGTTTTGTAAACTTTAACCCAGTTATCTTAGTCTTGACTTTTTCTTCTCCACTTGTTTGTATATGAGATTATACACAGAAAAAGAAGGAAGCTAGAAAGTGAGTTGGTTAAGCAAGAAGAAGGTAAAAGACATGACAAGGCTGGTGTCAGGAAGCAAACATGTGAAGGGTGCCCCTGGGTATGGGTGGGAAAGCCTTAGGGAGTCAGTCTGTACTTGGGAGATGAGCCAGGGTCCTTTCTGTGAGAACCAGGCCTTTGGCCATTCTGAAGGTCCTGGCCTAATCACCAGTAGGGCCTGTGTGAGAAGCTCAGGAGTTTGAACTACTCCCATCCCAGTCACCTTTCCTGCCTCAGCTTTGTGTCCTGAAGAGGGGCCCCCATGTGGTTTGGCCATCATCCTAAGCATTGTCTCCCCCAAAGCAGTGACCTTGGTTGTGTCCTCAGTAAGGACACAAGTCGTTCACCAACTCCTTTGTAGCTGATCTTCACCACTAAATCCAAGTATTGGGCAAAAGCCTGGAGAGTTGGATGAACAGTAAGACTCCTGGTCCTTTTTGAGAGAATGTCTCCCACCTTTATTGTGGAGCAGCCTTATATACAAACTTACAAAAACCCCGGGTCAAAGGGTTCACAACAGGATATTGATCCCAGTGGGGTGAGGTCAGGCAAACAGGAGGTACCTGTGGTTATGCTGGAAAACAACTCTTAGAGATCCCATGGGGGCTGGGTTCCAACACTCCTTGCCTGAATCTCTGACATTTTGATAGCTTCTGGGTTCTGACTCTATTTTAGGCTTAGTTGAAAGGATAAGTACCTAGCATTTCTTTTTTTCCAACTTTTTTTATTTGAATTAGAAACAGGATTGTTTTACATGACAATCCCATTTCCCTTCTCCCACCCGTCCTCCCCTACCCCCCACCTAAAACCTTATCTGTCACATATCTTTTCTGCTCCCCCTGGATGGTGAGGCCTTCCATAGGGTGTCATCAGAGTCTTTCAATTTCTTTGGGGTAGGGCCTAGGCCCACCACGGTGTGTGTTGGCTAAGGGAGTATTCCTCTATATGGATGGGCTCCCAAAGTCCACACCTATGCTAGGGATAAATACTGGGCTTCTACAGGA